CAAAACGCAAAACACAACAAAATCAATCCACACATCGCACACATCCGCAACGCATTCCATTGTCAAGCACACACACACACACGCATACACGCACATCCACATCCCCGCGCCCAAGCACAACTACATGCATACACACACACACACGCGCGCGCGCGCCCACACACAGTCATGCATATGTACAAAAGGAGAGCTGTGTGCATGTGTGTGTGTGTGTGTGTGGTAAACACAAACTTTTTTTTCTTGTAGTTGATATAAGTCATATTGCCTGCTGAATTCAAACACACACACATACACATTCAGACAAATTAAGCTTACATATTTGATATGATACGATAGTACATACTTACATATATCCACATTATATATATATATACATATAACTTTTTTTTTTTACATGTTAAATTAGTTGGTACCGCAGACAACAAACAGGCGCAAAAACGCGTCGCCAGTTTTGAGTTTTAGCTAGTTAAGCGAGATATATATATATATATACAAATATATATCGTAACTATATATAAACGTACGTACATAAGTCTTTAGAGAATGAATAAAAATACTTAAGCGGTTAATGAGAAGTTAGAAATTGTCTGGCGAGAAACAACAACGACGACGATGACGACGCACCAAAGCAAACAGGATAAAAAATTAAATTAAATTAAGAAAAAAGTGAGCTAAACAAAATGAAATAAGATTACAAAAGCTAACATTAAATTTAGTTGTAGAAACTTGATTCATTTTATATGATATGAATTTCGGATTTTTGTTTTATTTTAAATTTTTGCATTTTGCTTATCGTTGGGTTTGAGAAACCACAGTTTGAAAATTCTTTTTAAAATTTAAAGGCATTTCGAGTTAAAAAAAAAATAAAACAATTTACTTTTACGTCTTGCTCGGACAGTAAATTTTCTTAATATTATATGCATATATATTTATATTATCGTCTTTTTGTAATCTTCGGCAAACTCTTTGGACTCGCATAGTTTAAGCTAAGCATATTTAATTTCAATTTCAGTAACGGATTGACATATATATATATGTATATGTATATATATTTCAGTTTTCTTTTTTAATTTTATGTACTTTATCTTGATTTGGCTATGTGAAATTCAAAGTTGAGATGAACGCATTTTATAATATGAAAAGTAAGTTTGTTTGCCATAAAAACACACACACAGAAACACGCCACACACACACATACACACAGCATTAGCACTTCTCCCCCCAATTCATAAAACATTTAGTATGTAATGTGTATATTCATTATTTATATTTAATGATGCATTTTACAAAGAATTCGTTCTCATGCTTCATTATTCAAATCATATATGTACGTCGTATAGAGGAAAACAGAAAAAAAATGGAAAACAAAAAGGAAGAAAGTAGAAGAGGAAAAAAGTGAAGATAAATAGTGCATACTGCATATGTTAATTACGCTTACGATATAATTAAATAATTATTGCGATTTGCAAAACATACCTTTTACTTGTAAAACTAATTTAAGGTTTATGTATGTAATTGGAAAAACTAGTTTAAAAGCCCAGATTACACATTTAAATAAAAAGACAACATGAATGAAACAGATGTATGCATTTTTTAATTTGTATTTCCAACATTTAAAAAGCCTTGAAGCGCGCCAAGTTTCGATGACAGGGGAATTTATCGATTTCCAACACTGCTGAAAGAATTTCCCCTCGTTCGTGATATTCGAAAAAGTAATAAAAGAAACTTCTTTGTTTGCACACTTTTAATAAAATATCAATGCACATTACATTTAAAATATATATATATATATATATACTTGAATGGTGCCAGCTTAAAATGGTTGCCATACAAAACACATTTGATAATGCCAATAGCTAAATGACGGCATAGGCACTCATAGTCTAAGGTTGAATTCTTTTGTTTTTTGTTTGTTGTTTAGTTTACTTTTTGGTTTTTGTTAACATTTCTTTCTAGGGAATTTTAGCTATGTATTTGGTCTTGATGGGTCAATAGTATATAGAATTTTAGGACGCATAATTAGGCGAATCATTAACAAACGTTACATGTAATTAAAAGTGCAAAACATAGTAAACATTACAATATGGTAACGAAAAATACAAAAAAAAAAAAACAGGGTATAAAAAAACAAACACAGCCAACGATGCCGTTCAGTGTTATACATATGTAAATACTAATAGAAACTAATTGTGTATTCTGTTGCAAAAAACATTCATAAATTATTACGCTTAAAGAAGATACTATAGCTATGTAAATATATATGGTGCACAGGCGCAAGAGGAGCTCCGCCACAAAATACTATCATAAGCGAATTCCATGCCTTTACGAGTACTGCGTGTGCGGATTGACGCTGATCATCTCCATGTTGCTGCTATATATGGGTTTATGAATGTGTATAGAAGAAAGAAATAGTTGATTAGTTATATTTTTAAATGCAAAGTTTATAATCATTTAATTGGCGCTGATAAGCCGGTGATAAATGGAAATACTTATCGCGCACCAAATGCTCAGTAAATTCGACAGCCATTTAGATATTTTTGCTTTGATGGAGCTTGAGGCACTTGAGCTTCAAATGAAGTCAAAGCTGTATGATGAAGTCAAGGAAATGGAATGTATGTATGCATGTATGTATGTATTTAGTTAGTGTATTGATAATGGTTAGTGAGATTTCAGAGGTTCGCCCGGTTAGAGAGATAAAGAGATGATGGCAGCGGAAATCGCAGTGCCAAACTTACCTACGACTGCACCGCATATGGATGAGGAGCAGCACCAGTCCAAGTACCACACAAATGCCACCCACAACAATATAGGCAATGCCTAAGAATGGATTTTTACCGCCAAGTACAGAGGTCGTCGATAGGATCATACGCTTGGTGCCACCAAACGATACGACGGGATAGTCTGAAATTACAATATACAGTATAAAATATATATAGTATATAATAAATGTTTTAAATGCCACTTACTGTACTTAATTTTTAGCGTATAYTCGCCAGCTTTCAGCCCCTTTGAGTAGCTGTTGTTTGTTTGGTCCAGGCGGCGGTAGAGCTTACGAAAACTGGGCAAGGCAGCCGTGCGCATCCATACGATTAGATCCTCATTTTGGAAACCATTGTTGTCCGGATTACCCGGGTCCAATTCGTTGACAGGTTGCTTCCAGAAGATAGGCGGCGAAAAGGGTTTTAGTGCTTCCGTAAGGTTTCCGGGCGGATTACGGAATTTCACACGTTTATCTGATGGCCATGCAATGCCCGTATTTAATAATTTAATTTCTGTGCTGCCCTGACTCAATGTCAACGTGTCTGCAAACAAATAGTGACACAATTTGAATTTAAGAATAACAAAATTAAAATGGTTATCAATTACCATTAAAGAGGGAATTGGCAATGGCTCCGCATGGCGCAATCGGTTTGCCGTCGTCCGCATAGGCAAACGGTGTGCAGTCCGAACTGGGGGTCAGGGACAGGTGTCCCAACAGCTGTTCATCATCGCGTGATTTCACATAGCGTCGATGGTTCTGATAGTAATTAGTTAGGCCATAGTACATGTAAACGTTGCCCTATTCGAATTACAAGAGAAAAACTATTTAGAATAATTTATACAGTTGAATTGAATTTGGATACTTGCAATGAAATCTTCCGTTAGATTGAAGGGTATCTCGCACAGGCACTGGCCGGCAGTTGTGCTCTCTAGAAAGTCGGCGCAGGTCTTATCCGAGCCCACCTGCATGCATCTGGTGTAGTCAATGATGAGCTCATTGGCTGAGTTGGAAAAGTGCAGCAGCACCACGCCAATGGGCACGAATAGAACACCAATGATAAAGAAGGTGGGCAGAACAGTTCGTGCGGTCAGCACTGGCTGCCAGGCGGGCAGGCGTTGTTGCTTGAAAGCTGAATCTGTAAAATAAACACTTAACGTGTTTAATAGGTGTGATTCATGTTCGCAGGTGGAATGAGGATGGCTATGGAAGGCTCGCCTTTAAAAATCGATCACACTTTCAATAAGCACTCGTTTGGTTTTCAGTATTAGTCACTCTTTTGAGTTTCCTTATCACAAACACACGCACGCACGCACTCACGGGCATAATGCTAAGGTAGGTAGGTAGGGCTCAAGGTGCTCCAGTAGCAACAGCAAAAGCAACAACATCTTGTTACTTGAGTGTGAGTGTATTGTGTATTTATTGTGTATGTCTATTCAATTTTCACCTGAAGGTCGTTTTGACTTTGTGGCTGCATTTTCCTCATTTCCTACATTTTGCGTTGACATGGCGTCTTCTACACAGTGCTAGCGACCACCGATGCGTCAATATTTTAGGATTACGAACTTGAAACTAAACCACTCGTCGCAAATTCGTTCACCCAAATACGTAAATAATACAATAAATTTCGCGTTTTAGTGCTGCTTATCGATATACCTATATCGATAAGAAAAACAAAATAAATATTACTGCAATGTACCGCGCATTTTAACACTGGCATATTAACAATAATTAATTTAAAAACTTTATACACATGATTCAAGTCTCTTATCCAAAGGAAATTAATTATTAAAACAATCTCTTTACTACCCTCAAACATTTTTCTGAATAACTAAATTATTGAATTCGACTTAAGCATTGGTTCATCGGCTGGTAGTGCTCATGAGAAAAGTTGGCTATGAAAAAAATGCCAATTTATATTTTTAATCAATTTATCAGAAATATTTGTAGCTAGCTACATTTATTAAAATATTTTGATAAATATATATTTTTTTTTTTTGCCAAATTAAATTATGTGCTCGTTTCCTGGCAATCGGTGTACTTTCCAGCACTGATAATAACATCGCGTGCATTGATATATCGGAATCGTTGGTGTATATGAACTTATTCCCATACCTAGCGGCAGCGGCGTTTTCGTTGAGTCAAAACAACAAAGCATAGGCAACAAAAACGAACCAACGAATAAGAGGAAAAGAAACGACGACGAAGAACGTAAATTCACGCATTTATTAATTTTCGCTGT